ACATTGGAAATTAATGCCAAAGAATATGCATGCTCATCTTTTTTATTTTGCTCTTTGTTTGATGATAATTGCCAATGACTAGAAAATCACTTGTATATTGCATATACTTTCATGAATTATCCTAATCAAATAATCACTTGATTTTATCATACCTGAAGTACTTATCTTTGGTTTCACTCTTTCTTATATTCTATGTTTACTAGGGATTCAACATGCCACTAGAACCTTTTGGTGTTGCACAACCAGTGACGGTTGGACATGAAGCTCCAATCATGGCTATCCCCTTATCTTGTATTACCCCAGAAGGTTTTAAACTTGAAATAGCTAATAATCAAGCGGTAAGATATTAATAAAAAAATTTACAATTTTTAGTATTTATAAATTTCTTAGAAAACATTTTCATATGCTTTTGATTCAAAATTTATGACCTCATACATTTCCGCAGATAAATACTAATGAATATTTACGACTTCTTTGCTATTCCTCTTATGTTGTTGTAGGTATAGAACAACACTTTATACGTTTAGTTGTAGCTTTTTCTCCTAGTTTTAAAATGTCACGTTGTATGTCCCCTCTTCGTTGTGGATTGATTCATAAGAAAAGGCTATCCCCTGGTCCATTTCATTGGGAAATACATTTTGAAAATAGTGGTGAATTTCATTTTCGTTAATATACTTGAGGTTGAGAATCTTGGCTTTATTGTTCAAGTTAAAAACCTTCCCCAACATTCCTTTGGAATTAACAAGTACATAGGCTTCAATTTATTATGAACAATATGCATCCAAGGAATACTATGTATTGTCTCTATTATCTACCTTTCTTGTTACATTACATTTATTTGCATTTGCATTTGCCACTTGCAATAGTAATTTGGCTGCTGTAACCATTTATTTCCATGTGGTGAATCAGACTGGCATGTACAATTTACAAAGAGGTTCGCATACCATAGGAATACATCAACTTTCCTATTCTGAGAGGAAAGAAAATTGGTACATCCGATATCTACCGCGTAGCAATGGGAGAAAATATGATCCGGTAATCTTATTATATATAATACTATTCCTGTAATCAGTTAGTATATTACTTCATGACATAAGCATAGTAAATATGAAATTACTCAGTTTTGTTCTTTGTTATTTAGCAATGCTAGCCCGAAAAATGAAATAGCTAGAAAAAGTTAATGCCAAAGGAAAAAAAAATTAAAATACGTTGTGTCAACGAATGCGCTCGCGAGGTTTTTATGCCACTGCTTAGGCTGAATGGGGGATCAAAATTACCCCTACAACGTTTTATGTATGAGATGGTTGATGGTTAAGATTGGCTCGTGACAGTGGGCAGTTGTCTTACATTGGGTGATAGAAGGGTAAGATATTTTTTTGTGTACATAGAAAGGCATAATGAAGAAAAAATGCTAATTAATTATGAGCATAGCTAAGGTCACCCTTGCAAAGTTGCTAACGTAAGGAAATTAATAGAGTCAAATGGGTTTTCCAAAACCACCATAATATTGTGAGATGATGTACACCGTTGTTTCCATGTCTTAATGTGTTCAATATCTCCATGACGAGCCTTGGAAACAAGCATTAGAGCTTTGTTGGGATTCTGTTAATGTCTACATTCTCTTACGATTACAATTTACATTCGTCTTGGTTGAATCAGTTTCAAGCAAGATACATCTACAACCTTTTTCCCTAAAGGCTGGGGATGATTGTGTTTATAGACTAATTTCAATTCAGAGTCAATGAAATGCGGAAATTTCTCTATGAAGTAGGTAGTAGTATTATGCAGATTGCAAAACTGTTTAACACAAAACCTGCAGTGCTTTGTAAAGGTTTCTAGGTTATTAAAAGTAGGCCTTGACGTACGTGAATAATGTTTATATTATGTTTGTGAAGAATTTATATTGTTTACGTTATGTTTTTGCAGAATTC